CTCGTGACCGCCGTTTCTTGCCCTGGGGGAAAGTCAAGGAAGACGCAGCGAATAGTGCGAGGAGAGAGCTTGCCCGCGGAAAGATCGCGGACAAGGGCAAGCGAACCCCAGACCCAAAACGCCGACGGATCGCCAACCTCTCCCGTCCAAAGCAGGGTAGGCGAGGTCTTCGGCTGGGAGACACGGGGCCAGAGGTTTAGCTGATGCTCTAGGTCGGGAATAGTCTAGTTGCTATTACCTATCGTGTTCTCCACGATCACCCGATTGCAACGATATGCGCAGCTCTGCTTGAAGTTGTCAATACACACTTCAGCAATTTTCAGAACCTTGATGTTGTAATGTCATCAATGAGTACAAGCAGTTTTGTAATCTAAGAAGATACAAAATGCGATTCGTAACGTAACGTGTTTCCCAAGTTATCGCGTGCGCGCTTCGTTTCACCCCGAGTCGCACATGCAACTGCACCAAATTCACCGAACACTCCTCGAGTCCGGATCCAGCACCTTCTCGAATGCGCCTTGGTCTTGAACCAAATTTCCCCTCGTAAACTCCCATCTCGATAATTCTTCACGCTTCTTCCTCCTTCCAGTATATTTCTTCTCCACCTCTCTCCCGCTTCTCACGACGTGGCTTCCATTCTTCGCCGTAGGCCGATTTCCACTTAGAATCATCCACGCGCTTCCATTTAGTTGTCACACGAAATCTCGCCGTAGATTTCATGGTTCGGCGAACCACCCCTAACTATCTCCCCTGTGGTTCATCAACCACAAACTCCACTCGCACCGCTCCCCTGTTCCTTGAAGCCTTCACTGTGTTTAACTCGACTTCAGGCTCCTTTGCAGCTCTTGCAGCTTGAACCTCTGCTTACGTGTCTTGAAGTTGAGCCCTTTGACATCCAAACCTTGAGTGATTTTCTTCAGCCTCTCGCCTCTCCTCTCCCCTCAACGTGTTCCTTCACCGTAAGCACCCGCCCTTTTGCAGTTGCATTTGCCTTTGATCCCTTCACCATAAAATCCATATTCGCAGCTTCAACTTTCTCGCACTTTGCATTTACTTCTTCGTCTTCAACCACAATTACTGCTGCAAATGTGTTGACACCAACACCATCTCCATCGTTCACTGCTATTGCCTCCATGATGACTTTCTCCTCTTCCTGCTTCATTACTGCCTCCACACTCGCTGCCGTATCCTTCGCGTCCTCACTCTTATCAACCACAACCGTTAACTCCTCCAGTTTTCTCATCTCAGTACACTCACGGTCCTCATAGAACTCATCCATATCGTTCATCGCTATCAGGCACATCTCATAGAACACGTCATTGAAGTAGCCATCCGCATACTTCTCCCACTCTGGACCAAACACTGAAACCTTGCCACTGTCATAAAATATCTTGCACCCCAAGTCATCAAGCTATGACTGACTGACCAAATTCACCTTCAAATCCTCAACCAACAACACACTCTCCAGTTTCACCTCTCCGTACGGACTTTGCAGCACAACATCACCCTCTCCTGCCCCTCGTAACTACCCATTGTTACCTTGCAGTATATAATCCTCACTTACTCTCTCATGTTCTCCATCTGGTCTGACTTGAACGTCATGTGTCACGTGCGTCCACTGTCCATGTACCATGCCGTCTTCTCACGTCCATCCGACTGTCGAACATTCTTTGGTAGACGCACCAAGTTCGCAAGATGCGCTCCTCTCAAAATCACATCCTCATTGTTCAATTCTGCTACATTCGCCTTTGTCGCCACGCTCCATTTGTGCGAGGGACCCTTGTAGCTCCCACTATTCGGGTTGGAGTAACACTCTGCGGCACGATGTCCGTAGCGCCCACAATAATCACACTTGCCGCCGTATCCTCGTTTCTGTTGCCACTCCGCTCCCCCGTTTTCTCCATTTTCGTTCTCCACCGCTTTGCCCTTGAAGTTCCTACTTCACAGATTTTCGTAGCAGTTTACCGGCTTATGCCCCCTCTTTCCACACTGGTAGCATGGTCCAAAGGCCATCGTTTTTCAAAATGAGACACTTCATCCCTACTAAACGATGAAGCCATAGCTCGGCTCTTCTTCGCCCGCATGGTCACAATCCATGGAACTCCCACGAAACTGATCTCAGACAGAGACCCGAAGTTTACTAGTAAGTTCTGGCAGGAACTCATGGGTTTGCTCGGGACTAAGCTTGCTATGTCTTCAGCATACCACCCCAGACAGATGGACAGACAGAGCGACTGAACAAGGTGGTTGAACAGTTACTGCGTACAGCATGCAAAGATGGCATCAGCCACTGGGATCAACAGTTGTAGACACTGTGCGTCAGGAGATTTCAATGAAGCTTTAGTTAATCCGAAGCCATGAGCAACCTTCCTACTACCCTCTATACAATTTCAGGGCCAACGAAATGATTTTGTATTTTGACGACCATTTTTTTTTTCAGAGGTCCACTGGTGATCCCCGATTGATCCTAGGGAAGGGCTACAGGCATGTTGGCCTGGGGGGTTATGGGCGCACTGACCCGCTACTTAACAAGCCCTTTTATCCCAATGGTCTAGTGGTTGGGATTCTGACATGGTATCAGAGCGAAGGTCTCGGGTTCGAATCCCAGTGTGTGCACTTCGGGCATCCCAGTGCGGGGGGGGTGTCAGAGGTCCACTGGTGATCCCCGATTGATCCTAGGGAAGGGTTACAGGCATGTTGGCCTAGGGGGTTATGGGCGCACTGACCCGCTACTTAACAAGCCCTATTATCCCAATGGTCTAGTGGTCGGGATTCTGACATTTTTCCGCGAGGAGATTTGCTGGCCTAACAGCATCAGGGCCAACCAGTACAAAAAAAACGGTGGTTGCCACCAGCGTAGGATCTTTTGTTGGGACACTGCCCTCAAGACCAACTATATTTCTTTACCAGCATTTTTCAATGCCCGAAACCGCTTGTGCTATTCCTGAATACCAAACGAGAGAAGAAATCGGTATAGCGCAAATCATGCATGAAGATTGCCTGAGAAGTTGGGTTTCATGTGGGTTCCGAGCACATAACTGGATCGCGAAGAATGGTAAGGGTGGTGCCAACTTTGTTCACTGCCGTTTCTCACGTAACGTTTACGTCACTGGGCTCGTCAAATAAAATTGATTCCCAAGTTGTACGCAGAACATTCTGTGTGTTAGGCCCCTTGCCTAAATCCGCTAAGAACAACATGGTCGAATAAGTCGGGGATGAAACGTGGTAGAAGACTTTGGTGAAAAACATATTCACGAAATAGGCGAATCTAATACTGAGTTAAGAATTGAATTATATTTTCAAATATAAAACAATGTATAGATAGCATGCAATGATGAATGTTGGAAAACTGTTTGTGGGACTTAGAATGGGAATGCAAGAAAACTAGAGTGCCACGTGGCGGATGAAATATCCTAGAGATCCTGAAGAGATTGGATGAAGATAAGGTGGGATACCATTTAGGGCAAACAATCAGTGAACAGTAAACTACCCCCCGTAACACCCTGTCCATTTATCAAGGGTACGTTTCGAACCTCTAACAAGGTTCAACGACGAGAGGTGGTACAGTCCTGAAATATGGTTACCCGATACCGTAAGAGATGGACGAGTTTAAGTCTTGCCCTTTGTAATGGGTAGCGGGTAGGCGAAATTGGTGGCGACAGGTTTCTCGGCGAAACTGTTTGACATATACACCACAGTACGAACCTTTGGACGAATTGAAGCTGCACCTTTAAATGTGTTCCGCACGTCCTTGAAATCGTCGCACGTGTGAACGGACGTCGGATTCCCAACTTCATTATATTACTGTACACACGATTCTCAGCTGTTGCCCGCACATTTGGTCTGCCCAATCCCGAACGCCTGCCCAATTGCATTTGGTACCGGCCAGTTGCACCCATTTTACAAGCAGCCAGATCAGTTCAAGCCCAAAATGTCGAGTGACCTTGTGGGACCGTAACGGGCATCTGGTGTACCAGCTTGGAGCAGCGACCATGCCCGCGAGGATACACGAAATCAGAAACTCGTCGTCCGTTCGAAACGAGTATGAATATACTCGAACCCGCCCTGAGGGCAACGTCAGGTACACTTGTCGCACTTTTACAGTTCTCGTATGGTGGCTTAGATTGCATTCCCCGTTCGGACACCATCCGAAGTTCGCCCACGCGGTGCGCAGTTTCAAAAAAATGACATTTCAATGTTGGTCCACGCGGTCCGAAGTCTGGACACTCTGGTTTCAGTCGGCCACCAAGCGTGCGACTAACGTGCACGTCAACTATCGAACTGTGCGATCGTGTAACAAACCATTGATTTCAATGAACACTCTCTGTTTTGTCCCTATCGTGTTTTGTTGTCTGCCCAATCCAAGTAAATTAATCAAATATCGCCTATATAGCAAACATGCAGCCCGGAATTGGCTACCCACGTGTTTTTAAATGCCCGACACTCAGTTTTGGTCATTAGCAGTTGACGCTACCAGTGTGTACTGCGTCATACTCTGATTGGTCGCGAACCCAAGCGACACGCACGACACTCGTCGCATTCCAGACCTACCAAATGTCCAAGGTGGGGCCCTGCCCCACACGGACACCATCCTCGCGCCAAAACACCTTCAGGTGGGCGAACTTCGGATGGTGTCCGAACGGGGAATGCAATCTTAGGAAGGTTCTATACGGTCCTGAGCGGTTTTCAAAGTTTACCACTTCGCACCGTGACGAAACGAAGTTAACCACAAGGGAGCATACAAAAAGTTGTACAACCTGACGTCGTCCGAAACCAACATCGCACGCCAACACGGCCGCGTCCTGCTGACAAATCACCCTGAAACCAGCTGACCACTCATCATCGCTCCGTGCCGGCACCGCCGCCCGCTCGCTTCGCCACCTTTAACCCTGCTCTTGCGCACGCATGTCGCGCGAATCACCCCATCCCCCAACACGGCGTCATCGTCTGATAGCAGCCGGTCCGCGCGCCGCGATGCAGCGAACCCTGTCAATACGGGGATGCTTCTCGGTAATAGCTTCGGCAGTCACGCGACGCGTAGATTCGACAGTTGGCTCAACGGTACGTTTGTAAACAGGCTCGGTCGGGACTCCGTGCGCCGCTGCGTTGGGCACGAGTGCGAGCGAGGAGGGGCGGCGCCAGGCGCGTGGAGAAGAGAAGGTGAAGGCGCGCGAGTGACTGGGGCTCGAGGTAGGGTCGGGCCAGCAGCTGCAGCTGCAGTTGCCACTGCGACCCGCGCGGGCCGTGAACGCACGGCGAGGGGCGCGGGTACAGGGGCAGACGGGCTGGCCGAGCTGCGAGGGCGGGGCGGGGGGGAGGCGGAGGGACGCGCGAGAGGGGGCGAGAGGAGCAAAGGGGGCGAGAGGAGCGAAGGGGGCGAGAGGGGCGAAGGGGGCGAGAGGAGCGAAGCGGGCAGTGGCGAGGGGATGGTGGCGCAAGGCCCGACAGGCGGTGCGTGCGACCGCGAGCAGCGAGAGGAGGGGGCGGCGGGGCGGGAGGCGGGGGGCAAGCCGCGGGTGATTGTGATTTCGGGTCCCACAGCCGTGGGCAAGTCGCGGCTGGCGCTGGCGGTGGCGGAGGCGGTGCGAGGCGGCGAGGTGGTGAGTGCGGACTCGGTGGCGGTGTACCGCTCCCTCAACGTCGGCTCCGCCAAGCCCTCCCCTGCCCACCAGCGCCGCGTGCCGCACCACCTGCTGGACATCTGCGAGCCGTGGCAAGGTGGGGCATGGTGGGGCACGGTGGGGCAAGGTGGGGCAAGGTGGGGCACGATGGGGCATGGTGGGTGGGGCGTGGCAGGCGAGGTGGTAACGGGGCCGTGCAGTGGGGGGGAGGCAAGCAAGGTGAGTGTTATGGAATGGTGCGAGTAAGGTGCAGGGTGCGTGCAGGGAGGGAGCCAGGCGGGGTAGCTTGATGATGGCGATGAGACAGACAGCGCATGAGCAGCAGCATGCCCCCCTCCTCGCCCCCCCTGCACCCCCCCTGCACCCCCCCTGCACCCCCCCTGCACCCACAGAGTTCACGGCGGGCGACTTCTACGAGGTGGCGCGTGCGGCCGTGGAGGGCGTGGTGCAGCGGGGGGGCGTGCCCGTGGTGGTGGGCGGCACGGGGCTCTACCTCGCATGGCTGCTGCACGGCCGCCCCGTCACCCCCCCCTCGTGCCCCGCGCTGGAGCACGCCGTGGCCGCCGAGATCCACGCCGCTGTCACGCGCGCCAGGCAGGCCAGGGGGGCGAGGGGGGCGAGGGGGGATGAGAGGAGCGTAGGGGCGGTTGGTGGGGCAGAAGAGGCAGCAGGTGGGGGTGAGGGGGATGCAGCAGAGGGGGTGATGGAGGGAGAGGAATCAGCAGGCGAGGCAGTGAGGGGCGGCTTGGAGATAGCGTTGAGTGCCGACGAGAGGAGCGAGGAGGGCAACGATGGTGCGCGAGTGGGTGCGGGGGGAGGTGGCATGGCTGTGGGGGGAATGGAGGAGGAGACGGGGCAGGGCGAAGCGGGGACAGGGGGAGAGGCGAGGGAGCGGGGGTGGGCGAGCAGGCAGCCGCGTGTGAGGTATGCGGAGGAGGGCGACTGGGAGGCCGCCCTGGCTGCTCTTGCTGCTGCGGGCGACCCAATCACAGCAGGCCAGCTGGCACGGAATGACTGGTACCGGCTGACCAGGGCGTTTGAGATTCTCAGGGTATGTGCGCATGTGGGAGCTACTGTGTGCTTGTGGGACGCACTGTGTGTTTACGAAGCAAGAGTGGTGAAGAGGCAAGAGTGGTGAAGAGGCAAGGTGAAGAGGCAAGGTGAAGAGGCAAGAGTGGTGAAGAGGCAAGAGTGGTGAAGAGGCAAGAGTGGTGAAGAGGCAAGAGTGGTGAAGAGGCAAGAGTGGTGAAGAGGCAAGAGTGGTGAAGAGGCATGAGTGGTGAAGAGGCAGGAGTGGTGAAGAGGCAAGAGTGGTGAAGAGGCAAGAGTGGTGAAGAGGCAGGAGTGGTGAAGAGGCAGGAGTGGTGAAGAGGCAGGAGTGGTGAAGAGGCAGGAGTGGTGAAGAGGCAGGAGTGGTGAAGAGGCAAGAGTGGTGAAGAGGCAAGAGTGGTGAAGAGGCAGGAGTGGTGAAGAGGCAGGAGTGGTGAAGAGGCAGGAGTGGTGAAGAGGCAGGAGTGGTGAAGAGGCAAGAGTGGTGAAGAGGCAGGAGTGGTGAAGAGGCAGGAGTGGTGAAGAGGCAAGAGTGGTGAAGAGGCAAGAGTGGTGAAGAGGCAGGAGTGGTGAAGAGGCAGGAGTGGTGAAGAGGCATGAGTGGTGAAGAGGCATGAGTGGTGAAGAGGCAGGAGTGGTGAAGAGGCATGAGTGGTGAAGAGGCATGAGTGGTGAAGAGGCAAGAGTGGTGAAGAGGCAGGAGTGGTGAAGAGGCAGGAGCGGTGAAGAGGCAAGAGTGGTGAAGAGGCAAGAGTGGTGAAGAGGCAGGAGTGGTGAAGAGGCAAGAGTGGTGAAGAGGCAAGAGTGGTGAAGAGGCAGGAGTGGTGAAGAGGCAGGAGTGGTGAAGAGGCAAGAGTGGTGAAGAGGCAAGAGTGGTGAAGAGGCAGGAGTGGTGAAGAGGCAGGAGTGGTGAAGAGGCAGGAGTGGTGAAGAGGCAAGAGTGGTGAAGAGGCAGGAGTGGTGAAGAGGCAGGAGTGGTGAAGAGGCAAGAGTGGTGAAGAGGCAGGAGTGGTGAAGAGGCAAGAGTGGTGAAGAGGCAAGAGTGGTGAAGAGGCAGGAGTGGTGAAGAGGCAGGAGTGGTGAAGAGGCAGGAGTGGTGAAGAGGCAAGAGTGGTGAAGAGGCAGGAGTGGTGAAGAGGCAGGAGTGGTGAAGAGGCAGGAGTGGTGAAGAGGCAGGAGTGGTGAAGAGGCAAGAGTGGTGAAGAGGCATGAGTGGTGAAGAGGCAGGAGTGGTGAAGAGGCATGAGTGGTGAAGAGGCAGGAGTGGTGAAGAGGCAGGAGCGGTGAAGAGGCAAGAGTGGTGAAGAGGCAAGAGTGGTGAAGAGGCAGGAGTGGTGAAGAGGCAAGAGTGGTGAAGAGGCAAGAGTGGTGAAGAGGCAGGAGTGGTGAAGAGGCAGGAGTGGTGAAGAGCAGGAGTGGTGAAGAGGCAGGAGTGGTGAAGAGGCAGGAGTGGTGAAGAGGCAGGAGTGGTGAAGAGGCAGAGTGGTGAAGAGGCAGGAGTGGTGAAGAGGCAAGGAGTGGTGAAGAGGCAGAGTGGTGAAGAGGCAATGAGTGGTGAAGAGGCAGGAGTGGTGAAGAGGCATGAGTGGTGAAGAGGCATGAGTGGTGAAGAGGCAAGAGTGGTGAAGAGGCAGGAGTGGTGAAGAGGCAGGAGCGGTGAAGAGGCAAGAGTGGTGAAGAGGCAAGAGTGGTGAAGAGGCAGGAGTGGTGAAGAGGCAAGGAGTGGTGAAGAGGCAAGAGTGGTGAAGAGGCAAGAGTGGTGAAGAGGCAGGAGTGGTGAAGAGGCAGGAGTGGTGAAGAGGCAAGAGTGGTGAAGAGGCAGGAGTGGTGAAGAGGCAGGAGTGGTGAAGAGGCAAGAGTGGTGAAGAGGCAGGAGTGGTGAAGAGGCAGGAGTGGTGAAGAGGCAGGAGTGGTGAAGAGGCAGGAGTGGTGAAGAGGCAGGAGTGGTGAAGAGGCAGGAGTGGTGAAGAGGCAGGAGTGGTGAAGAGGCAGGAGTGGTGAAGAGGCAGGAGTGGTGAAGAGGCAGGAGTGGTGAAGAGGCAGGAGTGGTGAAGAGGCAGGAGTGGTGAAGAGGCAGGAGTGGTGAAGAGGCAAGAGTGGTGAAGAGGCAAGAGTGGTGAAGAGGCAGGAGTGGTGAAGAGGCAGGAGTGGTGAAGAGGCATGAGTGGTGAAGAGGCATGAGTGGTGAAGAGGCAGGAGTGGTGAAGAGGCATGAGTGGTGAAGAGGCATGAGTGGTGAAGAGGCAAGAGTGGTGAAGAGGCAGGAGTGGTGAAGAGGCAGGAGCGGTGAAGAGGCAAGAGTGGTGAAGAGGCAAGAGTGGTGAAGAGGCAGGAGTGGTGAAGAGGCAAGAGTGGTGAAGAGGCAAGAGTGGTGAAGAGGCAGGAGTGGTGAAGAGGCAGGAGTGGTGAAGAGGCAAGAGTGGTGAAGAGGCAAGAGTGGTGAAGAGGCAGGAGTGGTGAAGAGGCAGGAGTGGTGAAGAGGCAGGAGTGGTGAAGAGGCAAGAGTGGTGAAGAGGCAGAGTGGTGAAGAGGCAGGAGTGGTGAAGAGGCAGGAGTGGTGAAGAGGCAAGAGTGGTGAAGAGGCAGGAGTGGTGAAGAGGCAGGAGTGGTGAAGAGGCAAGAGTGGTGAAGAGGCATGAGTGGTGAAGAGGCAGGAGTGGTGAAGAGGCATGAGTGGTGAAGAGGCATGAGTGGTGAAGAGGCAAGAGTGGTGAAGAGGCAGGAGTGGTGAAGAGGCAGGAGCGGTGAAGAGGCAAGAGTGGTGAAGAGGCAAGAGTGGTGAAGAGGCAGGAGTGGTGAAGAGGCAGGAGTGGTGAAGAGGCAGGAGTGGTGAAGAGGCAAGAGTGGTGAAGAGGCATGAGTGGTGAAGAGGCAGGAGTGGTGAAGAGGCATGAGTGGTGAAGAGGCAGGAGTGGTGAAGAGGCAGGAGCGGTGAAGAGGCAAGAGTGGTGAAGAGGCAAGAGTGGTGAAGAGGCAGGAGTGGTGAAGAGGCAAGAGTGGTGAAGAGGCAAGAGTGGTGAAGAGGCAGGAGTGGTGAAGAGGCAGGAGTGGTGAAGAGGCAGGAGTGGTGAAGAGGCAGGAGTGGTGAAGAGGCAAGAGTGGTGAAGAGGCAAGAGTGGTGAAGAGGCAGGAGTGGTGAAGAGGGCAGGAGTGGTGAAGAGGCAGGAGTGGTGAAGAGGCAGGAGTGGTGAAGAGGCAAGAGTGGTGAAGAGGCAGGAGTGGTGAAGAGGCAGGAGTGGTGAAGAGGCAAGAGTGGTGAAGAGGCAAGAGTGGTGAAGAGGCAGGAGTGGTGAAGAGGCAGGAGTGGTGAAGAGGCATGAGTGGTGAAGAGGCATGAGTGGTGAAGAGGCAGGAGTGGTGAAGAGGCATGAGTGGTGAAGAGGCATGAGTGGTGAAGAGGCAAGAGTGGTGAAGAGGCAGGAGTGGTGAAGAGGCAGGAGCGGTGAAGAGGCAAGAGTGGTGAAGAGGCAAGAGTGGTGAAGAGGCAGGAGTGGTGAAGAGGCAAGAGTGGTGAAGAGGCAAGGAGTGGTGAAGAGGCAGGAGTGGTGAAGAGGCAGGAGTGGTGAAGAGGCAAGAGTGGTGAAGAGGCAAGAGTGGTGAAGAGGCAGGAGTGGTGAAGAGGCAGGAGTGGTGAAGAGGCAGGAGTGGTGAAGAGGCAAGAGTGGTGAAGAGGCAGGAGTGGTGAAGAGGCAGGAGTTGGTGAAGAGGCAAGAGTGGTGAAGAGGCAGGAGTGGTGAAGAGGCAAGAGTGTGTGAAGAGGCAAGAGTGGTGAAGAGGCAGGAGTGGTGAAGAGGCAGGAGTGGTGAAGAGGCAGGAGTGGTGAAGAGGCAAGAGTGGTGAAGAGGCAGGAGTGGTGAAGAGGCAGGAAGTGGTGAAGAGGCAGGAGTGGTGAAGAGGCAGGAGTGGTGAAGAGGCAAGAGTGGTGAAGAGGCATGAGTGGTGAAGAGGCAGGAGTGGTGAAGAGGCATGAGTGGTGAAGAGGCAGGAGTGGTGAAGAGGCCAGGAGCGGTGAAGAGGCAAGAGTGGTGAAGAGGCAAGAGTGGGTGAAGAGGCAGGAGTGGGTGAAGAGGCAAGAGTGGTGAAGAGCAAGCGTGGTGAAGAGGCAGGAGCAGTGGTGAAGAGCAGGAGTGGTGAAGAGGCAGGAGTGGTGAAGAGGCAGGAGTGGTGAAGAGGCAGGAGTGGTGAAGAGCAAGAGTGGTGAAGAGGCAGGAGTGGTGAAGAGGCAGGAGTGGTGAAGAGGCAAGAGTGGTGAAGAGGCAGAGTGGTGAAGAGGCAGGAGTGGTGAAGAGGCATGAGTGGTGAAGAGGCATGAGTGGTGAAGAGGCAAAGAGTGGTGAAGAGGCAGGAGTGGTGAAGAGGCAGGAGCGGTGAAGAGGCAAGAGTGGTGAAGAGGCAAGAGTGGTGAAGAGGCAGGAGTGGTGAAGAGGCAAGAGTGGTGAAGAGGCCAAGAGTGGTGAAGAGGTGCAGGAGTGGTGAAGAGGCAGGGAGGTGGTTGAAGAGGCAAGAGTGGTGAAAGAGGCAGGAGTGGTGAAGAGGCAGGAGTGGTGAAGAGGCAAGAGTGGTGGAAGAGGCAAGAGTGGGTGAAGAGGCAGGAGTGGTGAAGAGGCAGGAGTGGTGAAGAGGCAGGAGTGGTGAAGAGGCAGGAGTGGTGAAGAGGCAGGAGTGGTGAAGAGGCAGGAGTGGTGAAGAGGCAGGAGTGGTGAAGAGGCAGGAGTGGTGAAGAGGGCAAGAGTGGTGAAGAGGCAGGAGTGGTGAAGAGGCAGGAGTGGTGAGAGGCAAGAGTGGTGACGAGGCAAGAGTGGTGAAGAGGCAGGAGTGGTGAAGAGGCAGGAAGGTGGTGAAGAGGCATGAGTGGTGAAGAGGCATGAGTGGTGAAGAGGCAGGAGTGGTGAAGAGGCATGAGTGGTGAAGAGGCATGAGTGGTGAAGAGGCAAGAGTGGTGAAGAGGCAGGAAGTGGTGAAGAGGGCAGGAGCGTGCAAGAAGGCAAGAGTGGGAAGAGCAAGAGTGGTGAAGAGGCGAGTGGTGAAGAGGCAAGAGTGGTGAAGAGGCAAGAGTGGTGAAGAGGCAAGGAGTGGTGAAGAGGCAGGAGTGGTGAAGAGGCAAGAGTGGTGAAGAGGCAAGAGTGGTGAAGAGGCAGGAGTGGTGAAGAGGCAGGAGTGGTGAAGAGGCAGGAGTGGTGAAGAGGCAAGAGTGGTGAAGAGGCAGGAGTGGTGAAGAGGCAGGAGTGGTGAAGAGGCAAGAGTGGTGAAGAGGCAGAGTGGTGAAGAGGCAAGAGTGGTGAAGAGGCAAGAGTGGTGAAGAGGCAGGAGTGGTGAAGAGGCAGGAGTGGTGAAGAGGCATGAGTGGTGAAGAGGCAAGAGTGGTGAAGAGGCAGGAGTGGTGAAGAGGCAGGAGTGGTGAAGAGGCAGGAGTGGTGAAGAGGCAGGAGTGGTGAAGAGGCAGGAGTGGTGAAGAGGCATGAGTGGTGAAGAGGCAGGAGTGGTGAAGAGGCAAGTGGTGAAGAGGCATGAGTGGTGAAGAGGCAAGAGGCAAGAGTGGTGAAGAGGCAGGAGTGGTGAAGAGGCAGGAGCGGTGAAGAGGCAAGAGTGGTGAAGAGGCAAGAGTGGTGAAGAGGCAGGAGCGGTGAAGAGGCAAGAGTGGTGAAGAGGCAAGAGTGGTGAAGAGGCAGGAGTGGTGAAGAGGCAAGAGTGGTGAAGAGGCAAGAGTGGTGAAGAGGCAAGAGTGGGTGAAGAGGCAGGAGTGGTGAAGAGGCAGGAGTGGTGAAGAGGCAAGGAGTGGTGAAGAGGCAGGAGTGGTGAAGAGGCAAGAGTGGTGAAGAGGCAAGAGTGGTGAAGAGGCAGGAGTGGTGAAGAGGCAGGAGTGGTTGAAGAGGCAGGAGTGGTGAAGAGGCAAGAGTGGTGAAGAGGCAGGAGTGGTGAAGAGGCAAGAGTGGTGAAGAGGCAGGAGTGGTGAAGAGGCAAGAGTGGTGAAGAGGCAAGAGTGCTGAGAGGCAGGAGTGGTGAAGAGGCAGGAGTGGTGAAGAGGCAGGAGTGGCGAAGAGGCAAGAGTGGTGAAGAGGCAAGAGTGGTGAAGAGGCAAGAGTGGTGAAGAGGCATGAGTGGTGAAGAGGCAAGAGTGGTGAAGAGGCAAGAGTGGTGAAGAGGCAGGAGTGGTGAAGAGGCAGGAGTGGTGAAGAGGCAAGAGTGGTGAAGAGGCAAGGAGTGGTGAAGAGGCAGGAGTGGTGAAGAGGCAAGAGTGGTGAAGAGGCAAGAGTGGTGAAGAGGCAAGAGTGGTGAAGAGGCAGGAGTGGTGAAGAGGCAAGAGTGGTGAAGAGGCAGGAGTGGTGAAGAGGCAAGAGTGGTGAAGAGGCATGAGTGGTGAAGAGGCAGGAGTGGTGAAGAGGCAAGAGTGGTGAAGAGGGAGAGTGGTGAAGAGGCAAGAGTGGTGAAGAGGCAAGGAGTGGTGAAGAGGCAAGAGTGGTGAAGAGGCAAGAGTGGTGAAGAGGCAGGAGTGGTGAAGAGGCAGAGTGGTGAAGAGGCAAGAGTGGTGAAGAGGCAGGAGTGGTGAAGAGGCAGGAGTGGTGAAGAGGCAGGAGTGGTGAAGAGGCAAGAGTGGTGAAGAGGCAGGAGTGGTGAAGAGGCAGGAGTGGTGAAGAGGCAAGAGTGGTGAAGAGGCAGGAGTGGTGAAGAGGCAAGAGTGGTGAAGAGGCAAGAGTGGTGAAGAGGCAGGAGTGGTGAAGAGGCAGGAGTGGTGAAGAGGCAGGAGTGGTGAAGAGGCAGGAGTGGTGAAGAGGCAGGAGTGGTGAAGAGGCATGAGTGGTGAAGAGGCAGGAGTGGTGAAGAGGCAAGAGTGGTGAAGAGGCATGAGTGGTGAAGAGGCAAGAGGCAAGAGTGGTGAAGAGGCAGGAGTGGTGAAGAGGCAGGAGCGGTGAAGAGGCAAGAGTGGTGAAGAGGCAAGTGGTGAAGAGGCAGGAGCGGTGAAGAGGCAAGAGTGGTGAAGAGGCAAGAGTGGTGAAGAGGCAGGAGTGGTGAAGAGGCAAGAGTGGTGAAGAGGCAGAGTGGTGAAGAGGCAAGAGTGGTGAAGAGGCAGGAGTGGTGAAGAGGCAGGAGTGGTGAAGAGGCAAGAGTGGTGAAGAGGCAGGAGTGGTGAAGAGGCAAGAGTGGTGAAGAGGCAAGAGTGGTGAAGAGGCAGGAGTGGTGAAGAGGCAGGAGTGGTGAAGAGGCAGGAGTGGTGAAGAGGCAAGAGTGGTGAAGAGGCAGGAGTGGTGAAGAGGCAAGAGTGGTGAAGAGGCAGGAGTGGTGAAGAGGCAAGAGTGGTGAAGAGGCAAGAGTGGTGAAGAGGCAGGAGTGGTGAAGAGGCAGGAGTGGTGAAGAGGCAGGAGTGGCGAAGAGGCAAGAGTGGTGAAGAGGCAAGAGTGGTGAAGAGGCAAGAGTGGTGAAGAGGCAAGAGTGGTGAAGAGGCAAGAGTGGTGAAGAGGCAGGAGTGGTGAAGAGGCAGGAGTGGTGAAGAGGCAGGAGTGGTGAAGAGGCAGGAGTGGTGAAAAGAGGCAGGAGTGGTGAAGAGCAGAGTGGTGAGAGGCAAGAGTGGTGAAGAGGCCGGAGTGGTGGAAGAGGCAGGAGTGGTGAAGAGGCAGGAGTGGTGAAGAGGCAGGAGTGGTGAAGAGGCAGAGTGGTGAAGAGGCAGGAGTGGTGAAGAGGCAGGAGTGGTGAAGAGGCAGGAGTGGTGAAGAGGCAAGAGTGGGTGAAGAGGCAGGAGTGGTGAAGAGGCAGGAGTGGTGAAGAGGCAAGAGTGGTGGAAGAGGCAGGAGTGGTGAAGAGGCAAGAGTGGTGAAGAGGCAAGAGTGGTGAAGAGGGCAAGGAGTGGTGAAGAGGCAGAGTGGGTGAAGAGGCAGGAGTGGTGAAGAGGCAGAGTGGTGAAGAGGCAGGAGTGGTGAAGAGGCAGAGTGGTGAAGAGGCAGGAGTGGTGAAGAGGCAAGAGTGGTGAAGAGGCAGGAGTGGTGAAGAGGCAGGAGTGGTGAAGAGGCAGGAGTGGTGAAAGAGGCAAGAATGGGTGAAGAGGCAAGAGTGGTGAAGAGGCAAGAGTGGTGAAGAGGCAGGAGTGGTGAAGAGGCAAGAGTGGTGAAGAGGCAGGAGTGGTGAAGAGGCAAGAGTGGTGAAGAGGCAGGAGTGGCGAAGAGGCAAGAGTGGTGAAGAGGCAAGAGTGGTGAAGAGGCAAGAGTGGTGAAGAGGCAAGAGTGGTGAAGAGGCAAGAGTGGTGAAGAGGCAAGAGTGGTGAGAGCATGATGGTGGAGGAGTGTCCCGCATCCAGCAGGCCAGGGACAGTGAGCCACACTAATCCGCCCATGCCACTGTCCTCTCCTTCCCTCTCTTCCTCTTTTTCACTCCTCTTCACCTTGATGACACTTTTCCCTCCTCTCCGCGCCACGCCCTTTTCCAAGCCTGTGTAAAGCGTGCGCGTGTCTCCCTCCCTCAGGCCACGGGTCGCCCTCGATCAGAGATCACCGTGCCTTCCCACCACGCCAAACACACCACCCCGCCTGCTGCGGCTGCTGCTGCCGCGTCGGCGCCGCCATTCGCCTTCCACTGCTTCTTCCTGGACGCCCCTCGCCTGCCGCTGTAACCGCCGAATAGATAGACGCTGCGAAGAGATGGTGCAAGGTGAGGCGAGCCATGGTGCAAGGTGAGGCGAGCCTTGTGCGTGCTCAGGTGGAAGGACATACGGGCTTTGAGATTCTACGGACCGAATGCTTGTACTTGGTGACTCCAGTCCGCTGCACCCTCCTCTCACCATTGCCCTCGCCTGCACCACACAAGTCCACACGCCTTTCTCAACCCCACGGCGCCCCCTCGTTCTCATGCCTCCATCTCTTGCCTTCCCCTGCATGCCCCATCGCCCCCGTGCCCTCACGCGCGCTCTCCTCGGCCCGGTGTGGCGGCAGGCGGGCTTGCTGGAGGAGAGCCTGGCGCTGCTGCGAGCGGGGCTGCTGCCCGACTCCTCCTCGCCCACGACGCGCCATCGGCTACCGCCAGGCCATGTCCTTCCTGCTGCACTGCCAGCGCCTCATGGAGACCAGAGAGCAAGAGCAGCAGGTGGAAAGTGGAAGCGGGGAGCAGTGAGGAGCGAGGGCAGCAGGAGCAGCAGGTGGAGGTGGAGGTGTAGGAGGCACTGCAGGCGGCGCTGGTGGCGTTCATCTTGGAGTTCCAGCAGGCGTCGCGGCGCTACGCCAAGCGCCAGACCACGTGGTTCCGCTCCCAACGGCTCTTCCGATGGCTGCCCGCCCACTCCCCCCTGGTGAGAGACACTGCCCCCCTGGTGAGAGACATTGCCCCCCTGGTGAGAGACACTGCCCCCCTGGTGAGAGACATTGCCCCCCTGGTGAGAGACATTGCCCCGCTGGTGAGAGACATTGCCCCCCTGGTGAGAGACACTGCCCCCTGGTGAGAGACACTGCCCCCCTGGTGAGAGACATTGCCCCCTGGTGAGAGACATTGCCCCGCTGGTGAGAGACATTGCCCCCTGGTGAGAGACACTGCCCCCCTGGTGAGAGACACTACTGCCCCCTGGTGAGAGACATTGCCCCCCTGGTGAGAGACATTGCCCCCCTGGTGAGAGACACTGCCCCCCTGGTGAGAGACATTGCCCCCCTGGTGAGAGACACTGCCCCCCTGGTGAGAGACACTGCCCCCCTGGTGAGAGACATGGCCCCCCTGGTGAGAGACATTGCCCCGCTGGTGAGAGGACATTGCCCCCCTGGTGAGAGACACTGCCCCCTGGTGAGAGACACTGCCCCCCTGGTGAGAGACATTGCCCCGCTGGTGAGAGACACTGCCCCCCTGGTGAGAGACATTGCCCCCCCCTGGTGAGAGACATTTGCCCCGCGGGTGAGAGACATTGCCCCCCTGGTGAGAGGACACCTGCCCCCCTGGTGAGAGACACTGCCCCCCTGGTGAGAGACATTGCCCCCCTGGTGAGAGACATTGCCCTCGCTGGTGAGAGACATTGCCCCCCTGGTGAGAGACACTGCCCCCTGGTGAGAGACATTGCCCCCCTGGTGAGAGACATTGCCCCGCTGGTGAGAGACATTGCCCCCCTGGTGAGAGAACACTGCCCCCCTGGTGAGAGACACTGCCCCCCTGGTGAGAGCCATTGCCCCCTGGTGAGAGACAATTGCCCCCTGGTGAGAGACACTGCCCCCCCTGGTGAGAGACATTGCCCCCATGGTGAGAGACACTGCCCCCCTGGTGAGAGACACTTGCCCCCCTGGTGAGAGACATTGCCCCCCTGGTGAGAGGACATTGCCCCGCTGGTGAGAGACATGTGCCCCCCTGCCTGAGAGACACTGTCCCCCCTGGTGAGAGACACTGCCCCCCTGGTGAGAGACATTGCCCCGCTGGTGAGAGACAATTGCCCCGCTGGTGAGAGGACACTGCCCCCCTGGTGAGAGACATTGCCCCCCTCTGGTGAGAGACATTGCCCCGCGTGGTGCAGAGGACATTGCCCCCTGGTGAGAGACACTGCCCCCCCTGGTGAGAGGACACGGCCCCCCTGGTGAGAGACATTGCCCCCCTGGTGAGAGACATTGCCCCCGCTGGTGAGAGACATTGCCCCCCTGGTGAGAGACACTGCCCCCCTGGTGAGAGACATTGCCACCGCTGGTGAGAGACATTGCCCCACTGGTGAGAGACACTGCCCCCCTGGTGAGAGACTACTGCCCCCCTGGTGAGAGACATTGCCCCCCTGGTGAGAGACATTGCCCCGCTGGTGAGAGACATTGCCCCCCTGGTGAGAGACACTGCCCCCCTGGTGAGAGACATTGCCCCCTGGTGAGAGACATTGCCCCCCTGGTGAGAGACATTGCCCCCCTGGTGAGAGACATTGCCCGGCTGGTGAGAGACATTGCCCCGCTGGTGAGAGACATTGCCCCCCTGGTGAGACGAATTGCAAACAGTAGTGGTGCGTGAAGCAGCAGTGTGTTGATGTGTGTCAAACCGCTTGGTGATTGCTGCTGCCTTTGAGCTTTAGCTTACTTGAACAACCACGTCCCTGCTTCTCACCTCGCCCATGTCAGCTGCTGCACTCGTGTCGTGTGCACTTTGCTCAATCGATTCTACGCCTCCATCCTCCCCCCCCCTGCCCGCCCCAGGAGGAGCTGGTGGGGATGGTGCTGCGGGACTTTGATGGGTCGACGCGTGGGGAGGGGCACCTGGGTGGGGAGGGGCAGGCGGGTGGGGAGCGGCAGGGGGGTGGGGAGGGGAGGTTTGGGGGCAGAGAGCGAAGGGGGGCAGGGTGGGTGTTGGAGGAGGAGGGGGCAGCGGGGGGGGCGTGCGAGAAGGCGGTGAGGCGAGAAGCAGCGCAGGGAGAGGGCGGAGGAGGAGAGGGCGCTGAAGGGTACCGGGCACAGCTGGAGTACGACTCTCTCTCAACCCACCCTCGCATGCTCTCTGCATCTTCCACCCTCGCTCGTGCTCGTGCCTGCTCTCCACTGTCCTCACCTGCCCTCTTTCATTTTTCGCCTGCTCTCCTCTTTCCTTCCTTGCTCTCCTTTCTCTACCAGTGCATGGATGGTGCACCTACCAGTGCATGGATGGTGCACCTACCAGTGCATGGATGGTGCACCTACCAGTGCATGGATGGTGCACCTACCAGTGCATGGATGGTGCACCTACTCGGGCATGGATGGTGCACCTACTAGTGCATGGATGGTGCACCTACTCGTGCATGGATGGTGCACCTACTCGTGCATGGATGGTGCACCTACTCGTGCATGGATGGTGCACCTACTAGTGCATGGATGGTGCACCCACTCGTGCATGGATGGTGCACCTACTCGTGCATGGATGGTGCACCTACTCGTGCATGGATTGGTGCACCTACTCGTGCATGGGATGGTGCACCTACTCGGTGCATGGATGGTGCACCCACTCGTGCATGGATGGTGCACTCACTCGTGCATGGATGGTGCACCTACTCGTGCATGGATGGGTGCACCCACTCGTGCATGGATGGTGCACCTACAGTGCATGGATGGTGCACCTACCAGTGCATGGATGGTGCACCTACTCGTGCATGGATGTGCACCCACTCGTGCATGGATAGTGCACCTACTCGTGCTGGATGGTGCACCTACTCGTGCATGGATGGTGCACCTACTCGTGCATGGATGGTGCACCTACTAGTGCATGGATGGTGCACCTACTCGTGCATGGATGGTGCACCTACTCGTGCATGGATGGTGCACCTACTCGTGCATGGATGGTGCACCTACTCGTGCATGGATGGTGCACCTACTCGTGCATGGATGGTGCACCTACTCGTGCATGGATGGTGCACCCACTCGTGCATGGATGGTGCACCTACTCGTGCATGGATGGTGCACCTACTCGTGCATGGATGGTGCACCCCACTCGTGCATGGATGGTGCACCCCACGTCGTGCATGGATGGTGCACCCACTCGTGCATGGATGGTGCACCTACTAGTGCATGGATGGTGTACCTACTCGTGCATGGATGGTGCACCTACTCGTGCATGGATGGTGCACCTACTCGTGCATGGATGGTGCACCTACTCGTGCATGGATGATGCACCTACTCGTGCATGGATGGTGCACCTACTCGTGCATGGATGGTGCACCTACTCGTGCATGGATGGTGCACCCACTCGTGCATGGATGGTGCACCCACTCGTGCATGGATGGTGCAACCCACTCGTGCATGGATGGTGGCACCTACTCGTGCATGGATGGGTGCACCCACTCGTGCATGGATGGTGCACCCACTCGTGCATGGATGGTGCACCCACTCGTGCATGGATGGTGCACCCACTCGTGCATGGATGGTGCACCTACTCGTGCATGGATGGTGCACCTACTCGTGCATGGATGGTGCACCTACTCGTGCATGGATGGTGCACCCACTCGTGCATGGATGGTGCACCCACTCGTGCATGGAATGGTGCACCTACTCGTGCATGGATGGTGCACCTACTCGTGCATGGATGGTGCACCCACTCGTGCATGGATGGTGCACCCACTCGTGCATGGATGGTGCACCTACTAGTGCATGGATGGTGCACCTACTCGTGCATGGATGGTGCACCTACTAGTGCATGGATGGTGCACCCCACTCGTGCATGGATGGTGCACCCACTCGTGCATGGATGGTGCACCCACTCGTCATGGATGGTGCACCCACTCGTGCATGGATGGTGCACCTACTCGTGCATGGATGGTGCACCTACTAGTGCATCGATGGTGCACCTACTCGTGCATGGATGGTGCACCCACTCGTGCATGGATGGTGCACCCACTCGTGCATGGATGGTGCACCTACTCGTGCATGGATGGTGCACCTACTCGTGCATGGATGGTGCACCTACTCGGGCATGGATGGTGCACCTACTCGTGCATGGATGGTGCACCTACTAGTGCATGGATGGTGCACCTACTCGTGCATGGATGGTGCACCTACTCGTGCATGGATGGTGCACCTACTCGTGCATGGATGGTGCACCACGCCGAGCTCAGCAGTGTGAGGCCAGCTGTCCATGCACCTTACCATGCTGCCCCTGCCCCCCCAATGTGGATTTCACAGGATCTACTGCGACCAGCATGCCATTGATGCCACGCTGGCATGGATTCGACGCGAACGTTACGCCGCATTAACAGGGCTCACATAGCGGGCAAGTCAACGCTGGTGCTGCAGGTGTGTCCCTTGCCCCTTGCAGAGACACGAGGAGTAGCCGCAGCACAGCCTGCTGTGGCCACTTGAGAACTCGTGGAGATGTCTGCAGCAGCTTTTGTAAAAACCCTTGCATTCATTAGAGCGTCTTCCTACGGCCTCCAGTCAGACTACCCTCTTATCAGACACGCCTCAAACACCAATTTCTCTTCCCCATTCACTAGAATTGATTGCTACTGACTCAGCTCTAAGGGTAGCTCCATATGCTCCAAGCCGGATCTCTTCACCTCACCAAGTTGCACACCCAATTTTTTCTTCATTTTCCGCCTTCCAATCCTCGTACATAAGGTTCTCCATGAATTTGCAGTCTCTGCTCACAAAGAACTGTCAAAACTGCATGTTTATACATTGTTAGCAGGCCCTCAGATTGGTTTGAGGGTATGCTGATGGATCAGCGTGCCCCGGCCAACGAGGTGTCCAAATCAGCGTTCACGGTTTTTTTATACTGATTTTGCCAGTGTAAAAATCATAAGTAAACTGAACCAACAGTGTAAAAAAATAACTATAGCTGAAACACCAGTACAAGGTGTGTGGTGTTGTTGCTGTGATGGGTTCTAGCGAGGCTAAACACTTCGGTGCGAACCTGATATCTGTGCAGCGCATGCGAAAAAAATCCAAGTGTGTGGGTGGGGTTTCGTGAATCACGGGAAGGTACAGACTGTACAGTGTACACGCGTACCCTATCCTCCCCCCTCCCCCCCCACCCACCCCCCCCCCCCCCCCACGCGGTCAAGTCCGTTTCAGTGTGACTCACGTCACTATACTGATTCGTCAGTGCTACCGTATGGCCCCGGATATAGGCGCCGGCCTATTACAAGCGCCGGCGCTTCTATCTGGAGCATGGCGCTTATGGCCGTTCCTCGATTATAAGCGCCCCCCCTAAAAATGCTTTACTTGTTATAAGCGCATGTGTAATTTAAATTAAAATATTGCTTAGAACATTACGAGATTCATTTCTGCAGCGAGTCATATTTCAATTTCGCTTCGTTTGACTCTCGAAGACCTGACTGGCTGCGCGTCCAGTCAGGATGTGCTGGCATGACGTGTGTTTTCCTTTGTGTGCTGGCAGAATATCGCTCGCGCGCGCGATTCTGCTTTGTGACGCCAAAAAAAATCGACTCGGTTGAAATGGCAAAAAGAAAATGAAACAATTTGGTGCTCTAAATATATAATTTTGTTTTGTCATTATATAAGCGCCGGCGCTTATGGCCGTTACTCAATTACAAGCGCCACCCCCTTTTTATTATAAGCGCATATGCGCTTATATCCGGGGCTATACGGTACTTGTACATCAACATGCAAAATGGTCAGTGTGGCAAAGTAAGTTATACTGAAATTTCAGTGCAAAATTTAAGCATATGCTGAATTTTCAGGGAAAACGAAAATCACAGCTACAAAATCAGCCTAATCAGCGTGTTTTACGCTGATATCTGAGGGCCTGATTGTTAGGCTACAGTGGGGCTAGCCTTAAAGCCTGAGGTCAACATGGTAATATATCAAGTTCTGTGAGCTTGAAATCGGTTTCTAGGGTTTCCTACTTGTACTCCCATCCGGTTAGTCCAATTCATTCCGCTGTTTCCACTTCTTGACACGGTACGGTATCAGTAATCAGTCGCTAGGTTAGTGTCAAATGTTGTAGTCTTAGTGATGTGTGTTATAGGGGGTACAACTGTTAGGGTTAGGTTTATGTACCCCAACCAACCTTAGTCAAACCAACACTTTCATTCTTGACATGGTATCAGAGCCATCGTCCCGTCCCCTGCCCGTCGCGTCCCCTGCCCGTCGCGTCGCGCTGCCCGTCCCGTCCTCTGCCCGTCCCATCCCCTGCCCGTCGTCCCGTTCCCTGCCCGTCGTCCCGTCCCCTGCCCGTCGTCCCGTCCCTGCCCGTAGCTCCGTCCCCTGCCCGTCGCGTCTTGCCCCCCCCCCCCCCTCCCGTCGAGTCGCCCCCAGCCCGTCGCGTCGCGCCCTGCTGTCCCCGTCGAGTCGCGTCCTACCCGTCCCGTCGCGTCGCGCCCTGCTGTCCCGTCGCGTCGCGCCTTCCGCGCAGCCTGTCGCGCCCTGCTCGGACCCTCTAGGGCGTTTAGGGTTTTGGCAAGCACCGGTATCCACCTCTACGCTTCCGCTATGGCGACCCCTAGGGTCCTGCGCTTTGGACGCTGAGGGTAGGCCGCTCGAGTTCTCGTCTGGCTCCTGCGTGCGCGTCGCCTCCTAGAGAGCCAGGTTCAGGCACACGAGACTATGTGGAGCGCACGCTTTCCGGTGACCTACCTGAGCCCGCTCACCCTGCACCCTTAGCAGCTGACCCCACACCTGCAGACAGTGACCGTTATGCACGCGAGCGTGCTGACGTGACCGCGTGGAAGTCGCGTGACGTTGCGGCCTGCATCGCCCTCAGCAGCCTCCTCCCTGAGTCTGAGGAGACCCACTTCACTCAGGTTCGCACGGCTAGTGAGTTCCTGACTGCGATCAAGGCCCGCTACGCTACTCCCACCACTATCTCTCTTGGTCGCATGTTCCTTCCGTTCCAGTTTCCTGACCTCGCCTCGTTTGAGCGCACTGCCGACCTGATCACTCATCTGCGCTCGCTCGATTCTAGCTACCGCGCTGCTTGCACTGACGCACAGATTGCACTGCTCCCCCCCCCCCATGGCGATTACTATCTATTTCATCGCCACTAGCCTCCCTGACCGCCTTGCCTCGGTTCGTGACACGCTTCTTCTGAAGCACCCTAGCGAGCTCACTATCGAGGTCCTTGAGTCGGCCCTCAAGGACGTCGAGAGCAACCTCCGCTCGGTAGCCTCTGCCTCTGGTGCTGTGCCCCCTCCACTGTTCCACGGGTGCACTGTCCCTCAGCTGCCCACCTTTACTGCCTCCCTTGCCACTGCCGCTACTGACGTGACCGCAGCTGCTGTTACGACTTCTTCGCGGTCTCTGGGTAGGAGTGGCAGGAGGGACGGTCAGGGTGCGGGCGGAGGCGGCGGAGGCGGTGGGGTTGACGTGGCGAGCGGCGGCGGCGGGAGTGCAGGGGCTGGAGGAGCGCCTCGTGCAGCGGCCGGTGACTCCCCTGCTGCAGCTGGTGGAGGTGACGCCCGGGTTCCTCAGCCACCTACTGATCTGCCAGCCGCAGGGGGTGGAGCAGCGGCGTGGTACCTGACTCAGCGATAGCAGCAGCAGCAGCAGCAGCCCCTCCCCTCCGCAGCCCACAGCAGCAGCAGCGGCAGCAGCAGTTTTCGGGGCAGGGGTCAGGACAGCGTCAGCTGCAACGCGGTGTCGTCCACCTCCCTGCACCTATCACGTTCTGACAGTGCCCGCCGCGGCCAGCCTTGTGGCCGCAGCCACCCACTGGGTCAGTGCTTTGCTCAGCTTACTGACACGGTTCGGTTGGCCTACGGCGTTGACGGCCCTGCCCCTGACTGGCTTCCCCTTGTTCAGACATACGGCCCCGCTCTGTGGGGCATGTCGGCTTCTCAGTTGGTTGATCTCTTAGGAACTCTCTCATGCTATGTATCCTGTTGTTGACTCTAGTGCTTCTGACTCTGTTTACTCGAGTGTTTGTTAGCTTGGGTGCTAGTCTTGCTGAGGTGCCTGTTGCTAGTGTAGGTACTTGTGTAGACACTAGTCCAGGAGCTGCTCCGGAGGACGCTTCGCTGTCTTTCACTCTGGACTTCGGAGCTTCGCACTGTTTCTTCCGCGACCGCACGACACTTACCCCGCTTCCTACACCGGTCTCTGTAGCACTGGCTGATCCCACTTCTGGACCAGTCACTGCTCGCTACACTACTACGCTTCTATGCCCGGCTGTTCCCTCCGGTGTTCTGACCGGCTTCCACGTCCCCTCGTTCTCGAGGAACTTGGTGGGCGTGAGGCCGCTCGTGAGTCAGCAAGTGGGTGTGTGGATTGAGCCTTCTGGCGAGACTGCGGTTTGTGTCGACGGGGACACGTACGCGCCTCTCGCCACCTTTACCGCTGAGCCGGGCTCTGGTCTCTTCACACTTCACACTAGCCCCCGAGGGCAGCAGCAGCAGCAGCAGCAGCAGCAGCGGCAGCAGCAGCAGCAGCAGCGCAACAGCAAAGCAGCAGCAGCGGCAGCAGCACAGCAGCTAGCTACTACCCCCGACCCCTGTCAGGTTCCCGCGTCTCACCAGGTTGCCGCGTCTCCCCAGGTAGCTGTTTCTGGTCAGGTTCCAGTGTCTGGTTCAGTTGCTGCGTCGTGCTCCTGCCGGTCGCTTGCCCACCCCACTGTTTTGTGGCACCACCGGATGGGGCACCCGTCCATTTCTCGCCTGCGCGCTATGTCTAGTCAGCGTCTTGTTCTAGGCCTCCCGCGTGTCTTGCCGTCGTTGCCGCCTCGCTTGCGCCACCCTGCGGTCCCTGCGTCGAGGGTCGGCTGCGCACCACCCCTCACTCCTCCTCCGTTCGTCCGGCCACCGAGCCCTTCGAGACTCTCCACTTGGACGTCGGGGCCCCGCCTCGCGCCCTGGCTCTGAGCGAGAGAGTTTCTTTCTCGTGGTCGTTGACGACTACTCCCGCTACACCACAGTGTTCCCCCTGGCAAAGAAGCCCGACGTGACTTCTACGCTGATCCGGTGGTTGCTTACCACTGCGACACTCGTGGTCGTCGTGTCAGCTGTCTTCACTCCGACCGCGGGGGTGAGTTTCGCTCTGGCGTTCTCGCTGTATTCTGTCGCGAGCAGCGCATCCGTCAGTCCTGACGCTTCCAGAGTCCCCACAGCAGAATGGGGTTGGCTGAGCGCCGCATAGGCTTGGTCATGGAGATCGCCCGCACCTCCATGCTCACGCCCGTGCCCCCCATTTCTGTGGCCCTACGCGGTTCGGTACGCGCTCACCAGCTGAACCTCTGGCCACGTGTCTCTCGGCCAGAGGTTTCACCGACAAGTCTTTGGACCGGGTCCCCTGGTGCTGCG